ATATATCCGTCGCGACGTCGCTGACAATCAAGACTGAGTACGCCGGCACAACTGAACTAATCAAATACCAACGATCATGCCAGGGACGCAGTTGCTTATAAATAGCAATCATCAAACGGAGCTACCAACATTAAAGCGTTTTCCAAAACAATTTGCCAGAAGAGTAATGATAAATACTGGTTCGATAATTGACTCTCTTTCCGTTGCGAACATCCATCATGGCATTTATGTAATAACTAGGTGGTGATGCAAAATGTTGCGGTATAACTCATGCTGTGTTCATGGATTCCGATCCAAGGACAATATAGGTAAGGCAAACGGGAAATCTGTTAAATAAGTAGTTAACAATTTTGTTAATCTCTTATTTAATTTCTTATTGCGATTTTGTCTGATTCTGTGAATGCCCCCCCCCCCAGCTTCAATGAAATGAAATGAAATGAAATACCTTTATTGTACATTCATGCCACGACGGGCTAGGTACAGGTCAAGATACTGAGTATGACAGACACATAACAAACGTATATAGAAAATTGGAGACAAAAGATGCACTACTTGACTTAGACATACATACATAAGGAACATACAAGGGTACTATACTAGGCTAATACATAGTGTTCTAGTCACTGAGCTAATACAGACAGGTCAACTTCTTCTCGCTTTTTTGTACAGTGAAAAATGTGGGAGCAGATCATGTTTGTGATACAGGGTTTGTCTAGACGCATCAAAAATATAAATTTATCATTTGCGCTTAGGTGTTCAAAGTATGGAAACTTCTCTTTGATATAATTAAAAAGGACAGATCTTTCATTAGAATATAAAGTACAGTCTAAAATAAAGTGTTGTTCATCTTCTATTCTATTCATGTTACAGTATTGACAGAGTCTGTTCTGGAGAGGAATGCGGTTGTGCCGTCCCGTTTCTATGAGTAATTTGTGGCAACTTATTCGGAGTTTTGTTGCAGCTATCCTGTGTTGTATGTTGTTAACCGATAGGTACTCTTCTTCTTTATATATAGTTTTAAACAAACGGTACGTTCGTAACTTGTTACTAGAAAATGTACCTCTGTTATGGTCTTTGTGGATTTCAGTGATAAATGTTTGGGTGTAAATATCTTTCAATCGTTGGCTGATGGAGTTAATTATTGGTGATAGGTTTGTGCTAAGAGATATATTAGGTCGCCATACGTAAGCAAAACCGCATTCCTCCAAAGTTTTACGAATACCGGACGCCCAGCATTTATTGCCGCTAGTCTCTAGTTGTAGTTGACATGAGAGGGCGTCCGCTTGCAGACTGTCAGCTGGCACGTTTTGGCGTATACGAAGGACACAACAGGCATATAGCCGGAAATGCAGACAGGAAACGAAATAACCTTTTTTTGGACCTTTTCCTGTCAGTTGCAGCGTCACCGACGTGCCTACAATATGAAAATAACTACGGAAAGCACATACATGTACACGGAGGTAGACACACTATAAGCCGAGAGTTCATACTGCCCCATGAACGCAATACTACAGCATGTCCATGATGATCTTGTTTCCCAGGTGAGGTGACCGTGTCGTCAGTCCGGTCCCACCTGTCCCCACCCCGGCTCATCTGTAAGGGCATCCTGCTGCCGGATCGCGTGGACGGGGGCGGTTACGTCATACTCCAGTGGAATCTGTCCGTGCCACCAGACCTGCCGGCCGCCACCAGACGTGCCGTGCACTACGTCGTGCGAGAGCGGGCGAAGGATGACAGTTGGCAGACATCCGAATGGAACGTCATTGGAAGGGTGCAATTTTCTTCATATTACTTTGATGAAAGATTGAAGATTGACTGTATGCATAGGATCTACCTTGCATAATTGATGAGCACATTATATCAAAATACCATGTCGGTAAATTGCGGGAATTTCATGGTGTACTTGTTGCAACTCTTCTCCTCCCAGACCATGCTGGACACCGCCGTGCCGATAAAGAATCTGACAGCAAACTCCACGTACCAGTTCGAGGTGACCGCGGTGCTGCCTGATGGGAAGACTGGCGGCCCGGCCCGGGGAGACTGGATCACCACCCTGCCGGCCAACGGTACGGACTGTCCTGCCTCACAGTTGTGCAATATGGAGTTAACGCATTTCCGCATGTTTGTGGGATGTCGGTCTTGTGCCCAAAACAAATGAATAAATAGTTAAACAAGACAAGGTTCTACTGTAACACTCTATGTAACATAACAGCCCCAAAATTGAAATTTTCGAGAATAAAACTTTGATGACCTGTAAAATGACATTTGAAATATTTGCATTAATACTTTGTATTTGTGAGAAATAAAGTTGCATCACATTGCCACCGCACATTTCCACATTACCTGTACTCACTTGGTTGGCACATACTCTTCCTCAAGACCACTCCACAAAAAGAGCATGGTCAAGTTCTATGTTTTCGTGCCCCTCAAGAATGATAAAAACGACTTTACTTTTAGTCGCGATCGGAGGAACAGCCAGCCCTCCACGTGACCTCAGAGTGGAGAGTAAACGCTTTCAGAACGGCAACGTCAGCGTCACCATCGCCTGGACTCCGCCGGAAGGTCAGCAAATTAGTTTTGTGTTGTTGATCGCTTGAGGCAGTTATTTATCACCTATGTCAGAACAAGATCTCAGCCAACACGGTTCCTGCTAGCTATAGACCCATTGACAGTACCTCAGACCATCCAGTAAATTCACAAAAACTCTAAAAGTGTTTATGCATTGTTCATGTTCTCATGTCCAGTGTCGATCATGATGACTACGTATCATTAGATCCACATAGTACCGCTATGTATGCCTGACTGCACCACATATGTGACACAAAAATGCCTGAAAGATTTTTTTCTACCATTGAAATGTTAGTGTATTTATGGCAGTAGTATTTCCCCACAGAACTGCCGTGTGAGTACAATCTACACCTGCTGCCAGAAACGGCAATAGCCGACACACGATTCCGGATTGATAAGGAGGTAAAGTGTCTTCCTTTCATAGTTTCTTACACTGCACGACAAGTAGGGTGATGATATCAATGATGATACATGAGGGAGATAAATGGTAGGTAAGTCTGCTAGCGGTTCCTTTAGGCGATAGGCGTCACCAATATGGATTCATTGTGCCATTGGTAAATCCCAATTTTTGTGCAGTAAGCCCCACACATAATAACCCCAGGTGTTACCTTAGCTATAATGTGATTATGCCGCCGGCAATTCTGACAGATATGTCTGCAAATGATGCCTAAACCAAGATAAGTCTGGTGTCAAATGCCAAAAGGGGCTTACCTGGCGTTTATCGTCATTGATAAATCCTACTTTTCGCGCAGTGATATATTTCATGCGTGAAGGATAAAAAATCCAGGTCTAGAAGAGAACAAGTATGAAGCCATCAGTCACAAATGGTGTATCGTTACCAGGGATACTAGGGATGTGGTGAATTTGACCAAAAATGTCTGGAAACGTGAAATATGTGAGGAGGAAATTTTGTTTGGAAATGTGGGGATACTAAAAAGCCACACTTTATTTATTTATTTATTTTTTATCTATCTTCAATGACACCTGGGTAGCCCCTTCAGCCAATAGCTGATTTCCAAGGAGGCCCAGGGGGAATACAATATGTAAAAGAATAATAGATTATACAAAGTACATAACAAAAAATGTAAATGAAATCAGTATATCAATCCTCTCCACCTTTCACATATTTGCACAGTTATTATTATACGTAGGATTTTACGATTCACATTTTCTAAACCACAATATTTTCCACTGTAGTCACATTTTATCACACGTGTTTTCTCCCTTTTTTTATTGATTCACCTGAAGGTCACATCCTTCTGTAATATCAATAGGAAACTGGAAATCATGTCTTACCAGTCTATTGGTTTAATTTTAGTGCCTTCTGTGCATATACGAGTATACTGTACATCTATGACTGTACTTCTATTGTCCACATGAACAGGCATTACTGCCATCCCTAACTGCAGTTTTCGATTTGCCTGCCATTTCTGCAGCCACTAGACTCTCGGAGAAGATTCACGTTTCACAACCTGACATTTGACAGCAATTACATTGTATTCGTAAGTACCTCACCAGTACGTGCGTCATGTACTCGTAGAACACAGAGATGTGCTGGTCAAACGTGTGACATTCGTAACTGACATGGGGCGTAACTAAGTAAAAACCACTGCTGTAATGTAGACATGATCGAGCAAGTTTTTCGGAGACTGGGATTAGGAAAGGTGGGGTTCCTTTAGGCCCTATTGTCCCTACTTCTTCTAGACGGCGACTGACGAGCGTCCATGCACAGTACAGCGACCAATAGTGGATTTGCGTGACCCTTGATTTAATAAATAGAATACTATGCACGATGAAACCTATGATTTAAAACAAAGGACTAAAACACACAAAAGTCAAAACGTAAAAAACCGTCTTTATGTACAAAATTTCTTTGAGCAATCTACCAAATACAAGGTCGGTTGGTTGTCGCAGCCACAGACTAGTGTAAGTGGGGTGTGCAAGAGCCAGAAATTCGACTTTCCTAACTCATTTCTTCTCCTCCTAATGATGCTTTCCAAATGGACCGTGCACATTGAAGACAGATTTCAGGCTGACCATTAGACTAATGTCTTATAGTTAATGACTCACTCGGTGGCGCAAGCTGTCTATATATGGCAACGACTGCCCTAGTTCCTTTGTTTCCTCCTAGTCTATGAAATTCGTAGTCTTTGAGATGGTGCTTCACACCCCGTAGATGTAGGGCACATGACTCTAATCAGCAGCTGTGTTGAAGATAACGTTAAAATTGGCACATTCGGAGTGTCAGAATATCAACAACACATGTCAACAACTCATCCCAGTATGTAGCTCAAAACGTCCAAAACGTCGTCACTTCAACTTTCAAAACAGGGCGCCGCGTTGCTTCTGATAATGTCTATTGCAGACAAACATGCTACACTCTCAGATTTTACCAACATTTTCCAAGAAAAGCGCTTTACATGTCACAAAAGTAAGAGAAGCTGGAGCCCTCAACTCTAGGACTCAGCCAGAATGGACCGGGGGGGGGGGGTGTAATAGTGGCTTTTGACATGTAGCTCAGAATCACAAACCAGAAATTAAGTGACGCATTTTGAATTTGATACCAAAATTTTAAATAAATAGGCAGAATTAGAATTATTTGCCAGGAGAGCTTGGCCACTATAGGGCTTCATTTAAAGGGGAATGTTACCCTTGCTGCGGGATTACTCTCCTGGCCACTTATTGGCCCTATTTCTTCCCAATTCTACTCTCCACAACCCCCTAGGAAGGCCTGCTAGCAATATGATGCCCATGAATGTTGTCTGTTCTATCTCAGATGCGTTCCACCTTCTATGAGGGTAGGAGGGAGAGCAGTTTGGCGACGATGTCGTTCCAAACGCCGCGCTGTCTGGACGTCTCCTCCTACAACTTCAGTGTTTGTGGTAGGAACGAGGGATATGTTATCGTTTAATAATGTTCAATGTACGCTTAATTAAAACCTGTTTAAAAGTCAGACATAGCCGAACACCACGACCTCCCGACCTTCCTCAGACAATGGTTGGGAGTTTGTCGTGAGCGAGTTAACGTTCTTCGAGGTTGCAATTGCATACTCATTAAATGTTGAAAAGTCGTCCCCGCCAGCCGACTTTAAAGTTTGAGAAATCAATTGCAAAGTTAGGAAAGTCATATTCTGCTTGAATCCTGCAAAATCCATCTGTCTTGTTTAATTGATAAATGTACGGAAAAGGCGGTATTAGATCCTTGTCGGTGGTTGGTTCTTTCGCAGTCAGCTTACGACATTAAAATCGTATGAGAGCCTACGACGAATGTGACCGCATTTTAAACATGTATTCCCCACGGTCTTGGTTGTGCCCGCAGCCCCCGAGGCCCCGCAGAACTTGACCTACCGCCTGATAAATAACACCGCGGTGATATCGTGGCTCCCGCCCGTCAAGACGTCCCTGACGAACCCGGTGTCCAGTTACGTGGTGTTGGTTCGGCAGGAGGTTCAACCTGCCATGGACGGCACCCTACTGTCTACACAGGCCACGCAGGAGATAGTTCCAGGGGTGGGTACATGTACATCAAGCCGCTTCCTCTGGCTTTCTTTCTATGTTACACGCATGTTTTGGTTATGTATACCGTGTTGCTTCTAATGTACCGTATCGTGCTGCACCTGTAGCTACGTCTACAAATGTATATGGCGTAACTTTCTGCTATAAGTTTTTTTTGTGCTTACTGAAAATGTTGTTGATTTTATGTGTTTTGTGGGCCCTTTGAAAACAACTCAATGGAGTTGAATGGGTCAAAGACATTGTCTTTGGGGCCATTCGTCTGTTTAAAGATTTTATAAAGAAAGAAAGAGAGAAAGAAATAAATACATGAGATACTGTTGCATCAGACTTATTACTTTCACCAGGGTACTGGTAAGCAACTTTTCACCTTAAACTGTCTGATGGCGTGTTTTATTATTCATTTTAACGACGTCTGGTAGAAAATTGGCGCGTCAAAGCATTTTTATGGCGGCTTATAACAACGACAGTTTAAGATTCTACACACAGAGTTCCATTAGCATGCCGAACCACTCTTATCAAGATCCGTCCGGCTGGGGCCGATTTAAACCAGGCTTAAGGTTTAACACTTAACTACCCTCGCGTTTTGTTCAGTTGTACATCAGTGGATAATGTTGTGAGCCAGCAATCCTTCTCATTTCTTTCAATATAAGCAACATCTTAGCACGTCGTGACAAAAGTCTTCGTCAACAAATGCCAGTGTATCACGAACACATCTTAGCTGGTTTTACGATTAGGACTTTTTGGCTTTCAGTAGAATGTTTTCCTTAGGCCACAGTAAGTAATTTTTATGGATGATATTAGCACGCCAATTTGATTTTCGCCTGATTTCGGGGGAAAAAACAAGAAAAATTTTGTTGCCCTCCGACGGTGGTCAACATGCAAAAAATGGGCAAATATGTCGTAAACGTCCATCGGTAAGACAAGACCCTGATTTTTTGTGAAGTCTTTGGTTTGGCTTTGTTGCACTGGTGTATTTTGCTTCTTTTATATGTGATGTTGCTAGTCTGTGTAACGCAAACTCTGCCGTCCGCGGGCGGCCGGCAACCGTAAAGCGATTTAATCAGGCTATGATGTTGCCACTGAATCAAAACCATTTGTGCTATGATTGAAAATCTTTTTCGGCATTTATTTTTTCAAAGCTGTTTCAGAGACAAATCGTTGTTGTAATAGTTGACACAGTATAGGTAGAGTATGGCTTCCGAACAATTCAGTTATTAGTCACTCTGTCAGTGATTGAGCCCTGTGTTATACTAGGTAGTTTCTATGGGGTCCAGCAAACTTGAGACACAATTTCTCGAGTTTGATGGCAAGTGTTGACAGTCTAAGGTACTCCATTGTATATAAATACCTAGTGTAGTAGAGATCCACCATACGGTACACCCATGATGGTACGACAAGCTTTTTTCTACAATTGTTCTAGTTGAGCTCTATTCACACCTAAAAGGACAGGTAACACTGTTACACATTTGAAATCATGTTTTGCCGCCTTAATTCTTGTTTGACAAGGTTTACGCTCTCAAAATTTGAAAATGTGGGAATCTTATTTTTGGGCCCGTCTTGTTTTTTTTGCCCTGTCGCATTAGATTAGTGTCTGCAGAGTATGTCATCCATACAATTTACATGCTGTGGCCTATAATAAGGCATGTCACGTCATTTATATTCTGGTTAAAAAGTTCGTCGTTTAGGCTTAAGCCTGGGAAGGAGGCCAGACGCACGTATCCAGTGAGAAGGTCGGACCAGTTTGACCCACAGACTCCTGAGACCACCCCTAGGCTAGACTATCTACACTTAAACTCTGTACACTGTACTGGTCTTAAATGATGATGGTGGCTTTTCTTAGTCTACGTTGTTTCTCAAGTTTTGCGCCCTTGAGTCAAAACTATTCTGGCATGGGCTCAATAAGGGACATTCTTGTATACCCCATCCCTCCATGGATATTCTTATGTCTAGAAATATACGAAATGTCGCGTATCTTGCATCTTCGTGTTGTTTGCATTATGGTTGTCCAATATATATATTAATATATAATACTATTCTATTCCTAATCATATTAATATTGTATACAGTCATATTCCTGTAATGTCACGAGTGGAAGTATGAAGGGATATTCTGTTATAAACGATACTATTACTAAGTGTCATCTAAGTACTGAACATGTGTTAACTGTTATAGTAACTTATACGCTGACGCTGTTTCTAAAAGTGTATAATTATTTCTCTGCTTTCAGAGCCAAACGAACTTTTCCATCCACGACCTGTACCCAGGGGCTGTCTACCTGGTTTCCATTGCAGGAAGGACACCTGGCGGCACCGGCGTGACTAGCAGCACTCTTTACATTCAAACCTTAGCAGGTAAGGACATCAGTGCTAGCGCAAACATAAACTTCTTTTTGAAAAAAAAGTAGATTAATTAATCAGGGCGCAAGATTTTAAAGCACGTAACGTTATAGACTTTGTTTGTTTGTTTGAGCCATTGTTTACTTGAAACACTAAAATATTCCCTGGACGTTATGCCCGTGAGGTGTGTTGTTTACTACATGCCGTAGATGTAGATGTAAATGAGGGAAGAGCTCATACCAGACAATAAGATACAGGTGTGCAAATTCCCCCGCATGTATATGGCGTCGACGAAGTCAATCGGCTTTTACCACAAAATTCAATAGGTTCTACCTGTGTCACACACCCGTATACTTCTCATCAATACCTATGGTCCCCGAACATTCTCAAATGACGAAAAAATACTTACCTAACACGCCTGGTTGCATCACAAAATCTTGAAAATGTCAGTAGCACCAAGGAGCTTTCATCCTTGGTAGCACGCAGCACATCATAATGCATGACTGCCATCTTGAATTTCGTGGGGAGATCACGTGCGCAAAGCACGATGGGACATACACATCCCGACTACCCCCGGATGGCGCATATGATACATGTTTATGTATGCAGTTATCAATCGTTATTATGCAAATTCGTACCCGGAGGCTAATTGCAACTTATAAACATACAATAATATTGAAACCGATTATACAATAACTAATATCTACATAATGAAAAATAGTTGAAAAAAACAATAGTTATGTCTAAACCTATGTCTGAAGGTCTGTCTGAAGAAGAACCCGTCGAGAAGCCGACGACACCCGTCGAGAAGCCGACGACCACCAGTTCCGTGAGCCCGGCCTGGCTGAGCGGTGCCATCCCCGTGTTGCTGCTGCTGGCCGCCCTCACCACCTGGGCAGCCAGGCGCACTTACCACAAACACGGCGGATCCTTCTTCAAAAGACAACATCGCCAAGAGGTAAGAGCCTGGTCACATACCGTACAATCATGTCGCAAACACTGAAGGCATTCCTGGAACAGTCTTGCATGTGTCCAGCAAAAGTCATGTCTAATCTTGTTACGGATAAGATCCGTATAGGTGGTTGATTCTGTTATAGCCTGCTTGAATATTCTTCCGCTTCAAAATCACCCGACGACCTACGACGAATATGACCGCTCCATTAAAAAACGACGACGAAAGGGTGATGTTTTGTTTGACACATGTTTTGTTAGTGATGACGTATAGTTTGCACCTTGCTAAACTAATCTACATTGTATATTTGAGTCTCCAGTTTGGTGATGTTTTTCTTTTCTTTCAGAGTCCGCAGCCGCTCTTCCCGGAGTCTCCAGTGTTCCACGGACTCCGTCACGACCACTGCTTCCTGCTCCAGAACAGGTTCTACAGCGAGACGGACGTCCTGTCGGGCGATCACGACGAGTATGAGATGGACTTCAGGTGGGTTTCTTCTGTCATGTATTTCCACCATGAATGAATATTGTTCAATTTTGAGTTGTTGAATGATGTAACGCAACACAAAATAGATGGAGTCAGACATTTCAGATAGCATCCACTATCTGTCACCAGTGACTGAGGATGAGTTTTAGGACAAGTGTAACCTGTCTGATATGACGTGATATGTACCTGTTGACCAGCGGCACCGCGGTGCCAACCTTTAAAGGAAACGGCTTCCTAATATAGATTATGCCAAAAATATATTAATTCTAGCCTTTATCGTTACCATTATTGAATGCGTTTTATCATTTTATTATCCTTTAGCCAACTGGAGTTGGAAGAAGTGATTGGAGAAGGAGCCTTTGGTAAGGTCATACGGGGCAAGGCACGTGGCCTACCGACCATGCCTAACTCGCCGATCGCTACAGTCGCAGTTAAAACTCTCAAAGGTAAGTGCCCGGTCACATACGTCGCTCGATCTTCCAATGTACGTTGTACTTGTCGAGAAGAGCTAGGGGAATTTCCCAGGTACAATGAACCTGTATAGTAGTATACCGTGCACAGTGTATGTCTTCTCTGTCATGACCAGTGGAAGAGCAGCTCAACTAGTACTGTTCATTGAGCTAAATTCAGTGGTCCGAAGTCGCTTCCCTCCTTTCTCTTTGCTTTTGGGGAGTCTCCGCAAAGGGCCCCCCAAACCCAAACCTCTGAACCCCTTTGAAAGAAATTGAATGTCCACACAGAAAACGCGACCGGTGTTGACCAGACTAACCTGTTGGCTGAGATAGAGTTGATGAAGCAGATCGGAGCGAACACGAACATCGTCAGTATCCTGGGCTGCTGTACCCGCCGGTCACCTGTCTTCCTGGTGGTGGAGTACTGCCCATTCGGCGACCTGAAGAACCTGCTAAGGAACATCCGAGAACAGGTAAGACGCAGGCCTTTAATACTTGTTTGCTTGATTGTTGATTCATTTAAAATCTCCATTAGTAAAATCCATCATGTCCCTACTAGTATGAAAGTTCATTGTATGTGATGTTTAAAATTCACATGTGACGGTGAAGTGGGTCAAACGTTAACATTCTTTCAACCGGGAAGGAGGCGATACCGACTTCCAACAACTTTGGAACCATTGCTGACGTCACACGTGCATAGAGCCACCTGTCCTGAGCGATTGGGTCAGATAGCTGAGCGATTCAGTCGAAAATCCCAATGAGTCCAATTTTCTGAGTTGTTGAACAGTTTAATTGGCCCATTATAGATTGTATGGACATACGTACAATGTAATGATATCCTGTGCCTGTGATTGGTTGTAGAAAGAGTACGAGGAGAACGAACATCCCCTGCTGGGTATCAAATGTCAGGCCATCAACGCTTCAAACATGGCCAACAACGACGAGGCCTCCTTCGCGCCAGTCACGGTGTCGTCACTGGTGCCCATCTTTAACCCGGCGAGTGAGGGTAACCCTTCCTGCGCAGGAGGAAGAGCGAAGGACGAGAATCTGGACAGTGGAACCAGCATGGATCTAAGAGATGTCCTGGACGTTCTGCCGACCGACCTGCTCTCGTTTGCCCGGCAGATTTCAACGGGGATGGTACATGAGTTTTACACTAACCTGTTATCATGTGTGTCTGTAGTAATTTGAATAAAGCAGAGTGATAGTAGGCGAAGGGGAAAATGGCTTAACCACAGACTGGAAAGGAGGTCGGATCGGAGATCAAAATGGTCTCCTCGCAGACTGGTAGGAAGTGACAGTAGAAAATCCATGATGAACAAACCAATACTTTCCGGAGGTGTGAAAATCTTTTTGTTACTATTTTTTCTATGCATGATCTTGGTGATAACGGTCTTATCTACATATAATGTTACTACAGGAATACCTCGCTTCAAAGAAGTTCGTCCACAGAGATCTGGCCGCGCGTAACGTCTTGGTATGCGAAAACAAAGTGGTGAAGATCTCGGACTTCGGACTCACGCGAGACATCTACGAGAACAGCGAGTACCGGAAGTTGACGGGGGGTAAGCTTCCGGTGAGATGGATGTCGCCTGAAGCTATCTTTGACCAAGTGTATACCACCCAGAGTGACGTGTGAGTATTGAATAAAGAACAACGTCGTCATGGTGATTGACAGACATTGCAACATTTCCGAATTCTCTATGTACATTTGCATGACATTTTCCTTTACCTGTGTTAGAAGCATAGAGTCTGTGTTCCACTAACTTATCACCATTATTTCTATCCCAGGTGGTCCTTCGGAGTGGTCCTGTGGGAAATCGTCACCCTAGGTAAAACTACGTAATTCATACATCGTTCTCGATGATATTGCTTAGTTTTGTTGCCACATTTTACCCTGTAAGATTGTCAAATGATAAAGTAGTCATACATTCTGTGTCTGAGAATAATCAATAATGGCCACAAATAGACGTCACAAACAGAAGAGCATCTCATGTTACATAGATCATTGCACAGTTCATTCTGTCAATACCGTTATCATGAACAGATGCTTGCCGTTCTGATAATAGAACTACATGTACATATGATTCCTCTTTTTACTCCGGCTTCCAGGAGGATCCCCTTATCCGGGTCTATCGGGCAAGGAGCTGTTCAGATACCTGAAGGCGGGATACCGTATGGAGAAGCCTGAGAACTGCAGGCAGGAAATGTGAGTGTGTGTTATTAACATCAACTCTGTCAACGAGCTTGTCTCAAGCACTGATATTTCTGATTTTGGGAGAAGAGATGCTGTTTTAGTAACCTGACCGATCTGTCAAATGTTTGGTCGCTCAGCGATCGGCCAGCGGTTGCAGCCTCTAGTGGAAAGGTGCTACTCGCCCATTGCTTGCGTCTATGTACCAATATCAGGATGGTCCAGCTGACACCAAGGTAATCCCGCTCTGTTCCCTCCCACCCACAGCTATGACATCATGTTGGACTGCTGGCAGGATAAGCCCCAGAGACGCCCTACCTTCACGGAGATCCGGGAGAGACTAGAGGCGATCCTGGGGGACGTCCATCCCTACCTGGATCTCAACGTAGACTACGACCAGGAGTACTACCAGGGAGAATCTACATCAGATTATGACAGGTATCCCAGGTGATTTTTTTCAGCATCTCTTTAAATCTTCATGAAGACTTGGTATAACTCTATAACCGTGCGGACGATGTGATAGTCGGCACAATCTTGGTAAGGTATGGTGAAATATTGTTGCTAATCCAAATTTTGTCAGGATAAAAAAAGTTTTCAACAGAATGAAAGTTCATTTGTGTTGCGTTGAGGACGTTATGAAGATTTTTGAAACGCTATAACAAAAGTACCAAGTCTTAAAAAGCTTTCACTCAATCCCCTGACCCTTCTCAAGTCGGAATGACCCGTTGCTTACGTGAATTAGGCTTCTTCTAATCTTCCTCTTAAACAAGTCGTACCGTTTTGTTATCTAGTTGCAGCGTTGATGAATCAGCCAGTAGAGTCAACTCTCCGAGATCGTCTTCTATCGAAGCCCACAGTAATAACGTGGAGTTCGTGCTGTGGGACTCGGGCACCGCCATCGCCGACCTGCCCAAACCCCGCCGGCTCACCACCCGCCGCAACACCCGCATCTCCACCGACACCAGCGGCGTCGAGATGTCTCCTACCAGAGCTCTTCTCCCAACCATCGGGTCCAGGAGCGACGAGTGTGACGAGAAGTGGAGAAGCGCTCTGGACATTCGCGACAGCAACTCCTCCGACATACCGCCCCCGTCTCCCCACCGCTACTACAGCCTGGCCAACATTAACGCCGGTCTGCCAAAATCACCCTCATCGCCTACAAAAGTATTTGCCTTCACTGATGACGAGGTTTTTGCCAGAAGAAAGCCCGGGGCCAAAAAGAAGACGAGAAGAAAGAAGCGGCCCAAGCAACCCAGGCGGACATCGCAGTCCAGATCAAACGTCCCGGAAGATTCTGCAGCCACCCAGGTGACAATTGAGACTGAAGTCCAGGATGTAGCCACAGCGCCGCCTACCGTTCCAGTAATAAACATCACAGGGAGTCCAAACATCATCCCCCTGCCTCCTCAAGGGACCATGAACGTCACGCCGTCAGTGTCGCCGTGCTGCAGCTCGTGTGAGAAGAGCCCCGCCAGGCTGCCCAGACCCACAGGCGTGTGTAACATCGTCACCGCAACAAGTTCAGAGGTCATCGGCAGCATCTATTCGTTTGACAACTCACGAAGCACTTCGGGGAGCGGGAATATATCATGAACATTTTTTCATTGTGGGTCAGATTACATTGTTGAGAGTTCCGGATAGATTGATAAGTGTCTAGCTTGATAAGTGTCTAGCTACATCACTGCCACACACGGTATTTGATGCCGTAGAATTTTTAAGCAGGCTGGAACAGACACAATCACCGAGAAGACTCTATTAAAGACAGCCTTTTCTTCAGCAAGACAGAAGAATTTTCCCGGACACGTGCACAACTATCTCAAGAATGCCTTCAGTTTGCGACCGTACAATGTATGTGACAGGGCCCAAATCAGTGAATGTGTAGCATTAGCAAGGCGACACAGCCTTTGACAGTCGCACCCTGTACCGAACTGAAGCCAACTCCTTGACTGAATTTGGACGCATATCCTGATGTACAGGTGACGAATGAAGATCTGTAGTTGTTCGGTAGGTTCTTGCCGGTCACTTCTTGGAAATGCGTAGCCATTGGCTAGTTCACAGGCAAAACACTGATCCATACGAACATGAACCACCATTCCTGCTCTCCAGGACTCTCGGTCTCCCGCTATAGGCTCGGCCTCAATCAGATCAAAGACCGACTTTCATGACGTTAGTCTATATCATCCCTCGTCACATCGTTTACGATTTCCAAAACGAGATTTCTCCGTTTGGATCATGCAAATATAACACTTTCTACGTACTTTTGTACCGACCTAAATGTACATTTATTGCGAGTAACAGGCTCATTGGGAAAGTGCAATGTCATATCATATGTATGGGTTCTTGGTTTGGGATTAGTTAAAACGTCAAAGTATCTGCTTCTGAAAATCGCCAGTGGATCGGAGTTTCATTATTGCTTGCGAGGAGACCGTTATGTGTGACTGTGTACAGTTCAGGGAGGGTGGATAGGATAGGAGAGTTTAAAACGTCATTTTCAGCATTTTTGATGGCGAGTTTGTCTTGGGAGGAACTAATGGGTCTTCGGAGAACAAATCTAGATTCAGATTCACTGCGTTAAGGATTCTTGAAAGTCTTCAAGAAGGAATTTTTTGTAGGCCACGATGTATATGAAAAAAACGTTATATAGACTAGGCATCAAACGTGGACAGACCAGACCAGTAGAAATATGAGTATCTCAGCCACGATAACTACGAGACTTGATTGCGAGAACTGGAACTCAGGAAAAGTGTTGATGGATGTTGAATCTTGATGCTAAAATGTGTACGGAGGTTTTGTATTCGGTGTGTTTGTTTGCTTGTATATCCGTACGTATTTTCACGTGCTATTCAGTGCGTGACTCGTTGGTGGTTCCGTGATGTATCAGTTGATTAATTCATTGAAAACATTGATACTGTTTTCATATGGACTGGAGGCACATTTGATAGGTTAAACGTTTAAAGCACTGTATTTGATGATAAGACTTTTGTACGTCAAGACACGAGAACATGAAAAGCGTACGCTGTACGTTAGACTTGATGTTGGGTCGTGATACCTGATTTTTTTTCGACATAGCACTTAATTGATGTTTCAGATATCTACGTGTTTGATATATATAAAATTATATATTAACATACTCTAATGCAAGTGTAACTTTGTTCACATTGACTTACATCAAAATATTGGTCTTGTCCTTATTATATATCAGTTTGGTACGTTTTGGTATGCAGTCAAAACTGCCCAGGAAGACCACTCAGGGAACCGATAAAATCTGGTCTATGTGGACAGGTGGTCGCTATAGACAGGAATCGTAATGTCTGTGGCAATGGAAAAAGGTACTACATGTAGTATTTAGGGAACCATAAAAAATGGACACATTAGCCAGGCGGTCCTTATGTAGAGGTGGTCACTTGTACAGGTTTGACTCTATATGTATTTGAAGTAGATATTGTTATGATGTCAGTCTACATGTATATGTATATGCATATAGTATTCAGAATAACGTAAATGTGTGTATCAAGTATAGCTATGCTGCTGCATCTGTAACTTGGAAGCTGAAGATTGGTGGGTCAGTCGAGTGGTCAAACGCTTCGTAATGATCTGTCCACTGGGTGTTAATATTCCCGTACTTGTGTGCAATAAACTGTAAGGCCTCTTTCCGCTGTAAGCGGCGATCGCTGAACGACCCAAGCTGGAAGTTTGTGCGACAATGATTTCAGAATTGGAACGCGATCTACGATATAAAAGTTCTGATTCAAAAGCAGCAGAACACAGACAATTATTTAAAAAATCGTTCTTTGTCTATGGAAATCGTTGATGAATACTAGTATGACAAATATTTTGTCACTCAGTGATTTAAGCCTCTAGTGGAAAAGAAGAGGTATAACGTATTGTTTTTTTAGTCAATAGAAATAGGCTTTCTAGTCTCGACGTTCTTTAGATAGCACATAATATTATGTATATGTACAGATATGCCGTTCCGGTCTACCCACCAGTCTACAGTTTCGATGCTACTGGGACACTTCATTTCAACATTGCCTTTATATACCCCAAAACACATGTCTAAAGTTGAATATACTACAAGAGTGCAATACATGTACAGACCCAAGAACCAAATGAAAAAGTTCCTACCACGTTTTATACCAAATTGACAATCTATTTTGTCAGGTTTTCAATTGTAAACAAACTCTAGAATGTAACGAATGTATATGAATGATATCAAACACAAACATATGCGAGGCAAAGTCAAAGACACTGGTGTGCATATGTGCCCATCGACGAATAGTTTTGTAGCGTCCCATGATAGGGACATCACTGCTAGTCTGTTGTGGAAGTAGGAAGGACTAGTGCGGCACTAGTGTGCAATAGGAAACAAAGTGGATGAAGATCATGGGACAAATTAATCTGTTCTCCAACTAAACAATGGACTCACCAGAGTTTTCGACTTTATGCACGTGGGCCATCTGATTGGGTCAGAAAACGTGTGTTCAACATGCATTTTAGTTGACGAACAGTTTAATTGTTCCATAATGCAATTCACCAACATTAGCATTCGCCTCTGATGAGAATCATGACATAATCTACACTATATAGATTGTGACGGAGTTACGACTTGTAAGGACTTGATCATGATCTGAGGGAGAGAGGGATTTACCGTTAGATCAGGAAAGGAATAGAAAGGAAGTGTTTCACTCCAGTCAGATAATTATTTTATCAAAGATGCTGCTATGCCTAGTTTGGAGATTTCAGTACTTTTATTCTTTGGGCATGTACAAGTATTCACAATCTCTGCACCCTGCGTTGAAGCTATGATCAATAATCGGTGTACAATGTCAGAACATTGTGTTTAGTACAAGCAAATAAAAACCAGTGATCCAACCTTCCGTGTACGTACTTGCTTTTTTTTCTAAAAGTAAAAGTAAAACAAAAGCAATTGTTATATGTCTTTATGTAACAGTGCAAGTTGAACCTCTCAAAGGAACTAATAATGTCATTGCAATCAATGTGATTAAAGAGAAGATAAATTTCATCATTCATTGATCACATCGAATACATTAAGTACTAGAAGGTGCTACGTTTTAAGGGTAAAGGCACATATAAAGCTACTCGTACCACACCAAAATGGATATCACGGTCAAATATTTACATGTAGTATACCACAGAACTTTCAATTGTCAAAAATCACAAGGAGAACTTTCAAACTAAAATCTCAAGAACACCAGATGTCTTTAAAAAATGTGAAAGATTGTGTTTTTGTGTGTGTGTGTGTGTGCGTGCGAGTGTGAGTGCGTGTCTGTGTATGTTTGTGTGTATGACTGTGTGTGTGTGTGTGTGTGTGCGTGTGTGTGCGTGTGTGCGAGTGTGAGTGCGTGTCTGTGTATGTTTGTGTGTATGACTGTGTGTGTGTGTGTGTGTGTGTGTGTGTGTGTGTGTGTGTGTGTGTGTGTGTGTGTGTGTGTGTGTGTGTGTGTGTGTGTGTGTGTTTATAAAATGTAAAGAACAATGAATTTTTTTTAAAAATCAGTTTGACTTTTTATGACCTTTCTCAGGGACAACTACTTTCCGTAAGCGGCTCTTCTGTTCCAGAAGCTGTTCTCTTGAAGGAGGAAATTTGAATTTCACGACTTTTTTGACAACCTTAGATGTCTCCGCATGGGGCGAGTCACCAGTCGTGTGTTTGTATTGTGGGGTCTGTGTCACCCCGGTGTCCTGTGTGAGAGTCTGCGTGATGGATGCGTGTTCTGATTGGTCCAGAGTTGCGGGTGTGTGTCCTGATTGGTCTAAAGTTGTGGATGTATGTTCTGATTGGTCAAGTGTTGTGGATGTGTGTCCTGATTGGTCTCCAGTTGTGGATGTATGTTCTGATTGGTCAAGAGTTGTGGATGTGTTTCTGATTGGTCTAGAGTCGTGGATGCCCGTGTCACTCCTGGCTTTCGAAC